AGTTTATTGGTTGTTTTACAAAACCCTGTGGGTGGTACTAATGTTTAAGAATGTGTATATAAGAACAATAAACCCACAGCTCTGTCTGTTCCTGCTTGACCCTCAAAACGGAGCCTTGTTTCGTTCTTGGGGGGATTTATTGTATGCTGTTCTAGTTCGACTGCTAGGAGTGTAAACCTATTCGTATGGTTTTTCTTACTAAACTGTTTACGGCACTCATATGGTTTCCTGTTCGATGGATTGGTGTCTTTGGTAGCTGCCTGTATATCTGGAAGGGGGATATCTACTAAACGGCTTTAACCCCTTTTATGCCTGGGGGTGCCGTTACAGAAGGATAAATGTAATTAACTCCTATGTTATTCCAAAATGGAACTATATGTTTCAAATGTTACCACTGTATATTTCTAATCATTGGCTAGATGGAAAGGAAAAAAACCAAGGATAAGCCAAACACTGTTGGCACAAAAATTATGTAGGGGAAGATTGGCATATCCTCTCATACAAAACAATTATAAAGCAGCAATAATATTGTATATATACAGGATGCAGATAGCTGAGAACAAAAATGAGGGATGGTATATGATGGAAAGCAACTCTGGAGAGGTTTCTAGTCTGGACTGTTTAATCTGGAACAGTACGAAAGTAGATAAAGCATATTCTAACACAATTTTAATACATCTGTTAAATAGTTGGAACAAAATAAAAAAAATGCTAAATATCACTAAAGTTCCAATTTACTCAGAGTTGAAAGTTATTGAACAACAGATTTGTAATATCAACTTGAATAAATGGAAACAAGTCGGAATTACTAACCTATTTCAGCTGGTTACAGAGGGAGTAGTTAAACCTTTTGCCCAATTAATGCAGGAGTACAATTTACCATTAAAAAAACTGTTTAATTATTTGAGAACTAAAAGCTTTCTGATATCACACTTAATGGACCCAGATACTAGTTTATACAAAAGTATAAACAGTTTATTCAAGGCAAGCAGAGTAGAGAAACCACTTTCAAAAGCTTTATTAATAAGCAAACTCTGTAATATGGTAAAAATACCCACAGCTTTAGATGTTTGGAAGATGGATCTAAATGTTGATATAGATATTAAACTTTGGGGTTCTTCCATGGTAGAGGTGTCAAAAATGTCACAGTCGTGAAATTTATTGGAAACCCATTTCAAAATCTTAAATAGATGGTACTTGTTTCCAGAAAAATTGAGCAAATTGTACCCTACATCAGACCTCTTATGTTGGAGATGTGGATTAACCACGGGAACCCCTTAAGGACACATGACATGTGTGACATGTCATGATTCCCTTTTATTCCAGAAGTTTTGTCCTTAAGGGGTTAAACACATATGGTGAGACTGTAACAAGTTGCACAACCTGTGGGATGCAATTCAAACTTTTATAACTTGGGTTCTGAAGTCTGAGTTGAGACTTTCCCCAGCGGTTGTCTTGCTCCATCTAAACTGGCCCGTAATGCCTTTTGAAACTAAAATCATAGTGACCCATCTATTTTTGGCAGCTAAAATTGTTGTCACAAGAAATTGGAAATGTAATATTCAGATTCCTTGGGAGAAAGTTAAATCGCAACTCAGGTTCCAGATCAAAATGCTGTGTGAATAAAATTTAAGTAAAAAAAATAAATGTGATGAATAAGTGTTGGGATCTGATCACAAAAAAAACCATTAAATCTTCTGTTTTTCTGTCATGTAAATTAGGTATGAGATTAGGATGTTCATATTCTGGACATGTTACTAACTATGGGGTTTTTCTCCCTTCCTTCCTGGCAATACAAATTTGAGTATTTCTTTTCTCTTTCTTTTTTTTTTCCTTTTGTTGCATTGTCCTTTATTGTTGTGATGTATGCTAGAGGGATACTGTTAAAGTTTGGTGATTATGTTTGAGGGATATATGGTTATTGTCATTTTTATTCGGCTATATTCAGGATAAACTATCCCAATGAACTGATGTCTATGTTATCAGTGTTTATGTGCAATATGTTCAATATCTGAAACGTTTAATAAAGATTATAAAATAAGCTATTTTGACCTATTTGTTCCTATGAACTTATAATGTTTCTACTATGTTACCAAATTTAAATTCCACCTATGTTACATTATATCGTGAGTTAATATATTATAGTGCAAGTAATTTACCTAAATTACAGTTTTATGCTGCCTCTATTTTTTAATAAGTGGTTAATGCCTGAAGTGAAAGAAACTAAGCTACGTTATAGTGCGACTTAAACATAAACATTATCTATTCTCTATTGTATTATAGATTACTAACCAATTTGTGTTGAATTCAATATATTACGATTGTAATTAGTGCTTGGGATTCAGAAATGTGCTTGAATATCTTCCCTAATACTTACATTTATATTTATTATAGAGTGAGGATAATTATTTATTACATATCATCTCTTCTGTTGGTATTATCTGTTTTCCCTTTACCATCTCTCAGCCTCCTTCCCTTACTCCTCTCCTCCCTATTCTCCCTTTCATTCTATCCCAATCAGTGAGTAAGAAATTTTCTGTATCTATTGTAGCGGATGGCCATGAGCTGCCCTGGGACTTGTATTATGTTTAACCTGTATTCGTCTATTTGCTAAATGTATATGCAGTAAGGGAATGCATTCGTGTAAAATAGCAAATTTCTATGTGCTAAATGTATTGTATTCGTCTGAATGTTTCATTCCCTTAGTTTGTTCGAATGAAACTACCGAACAGTCAGACCTCCCCTGTGTGACGTGTACCTTCAATTACCCGTTGCAACATTGTTGCGAACAGGTAATTGACAAGCTGTGTAGCAATCCTTTGTTCTCGGGGGTGGCCGCCATTCGGGAAACGAACACGTGGCGGCGGCCATCTTAAACTCCCGAACAACAGTGTTTTGCCATCGAGTGTCTGGAACTCAAAACGGACACTCGACTAGGCGAACACCGCTGAGACCTCAATCAGCCCGGTCCGTTCGGTTCCAAACTACCGAACGGCCCCTCATTCGGTAGGCATAATCAACCGAACGAGGGGATTCAGGCGAACCCTCACCAGCCTCTATAGCTGGAGGCTTTCAGGTACTTCATTCGCCTGTTCCAATTCCCGAACCCCTGGTCTGATCTGGGTGATTTTTGGATATGTTGTTCACCCAGATCAGGGCTACCAGGGGATGAATAATTTAAAGGGGTACCCCTAGGTTTAGGGGTACATCCAGAAATGGGGGGAATTGCTGTACTGGATAAGGGGATTATGATGCCGGCTGAGGGGAGGAGATGTGTGGGAGGTTACCAAGACAGGATTGGCTATTGTGTTAATGAATGTAATCCCTCCCTTGCATGGGAGCATGCTTTAAAAGGCCACTGTGGAATAAAGCTTTCAGTTCTGCTCCTGATGCTGTGTGTCGTCCAGTCATTGGGATTGCTGTGGGGATACTATTGGATTATTTTGCCTGTTGGAAACCTTGCCTGTGGATTTATAATTTACTTGTTCCTGAGCCTCACTGGGATCTTAAGCGGAGATAATCTGTGGAATATTGTATCTCCGCTACATCTATATCTATGTGCCATCCTAGTTCTCTAGCCATTCTTTGGCTTTCTCTTTACTTTTGAATATTAATCTCTGCCCACTTTTATAAACAATCAGACTTGTGGGAAATCCCCAGCTATATTTAATGCCCTTTGAACGCATTACCTCTGTCTCTATATTAAAAAAATTTCTAGCGGCTCTCGTAGCATAAGAGAGATCCTGAAAAACTTTCAAATCCTTATATTTCTAAGGTGTCTGCTTAAGTTCAACAAAAGCTTTCATTAATAATGATTTAAATCTATTGGATGAGAAGGCAATAATTATATCCCTAGGGATGGGTTCGGGTACTGATGGTGGCTTACGGATTCTATGAAATCTTTCCATTATCATCAGGGCCGGACTGGGGAAAAAATTAGGCCCGGGCATTTTTCAATTAGAGCGGCCCCCCAAAAAGGGGGCGGGGCCAGAGAAAGTGAGCATGTTGGTTCAATGCGCAGAGCCCCGCTGAAGAGCTCTAGCATTAGAAAAAGGCCCTGTATTTGTTCTGCGCAGCGCAAGCAAATGTAATAACATGCTTGCGCTGTGTTTGCTTTTAAATTGTCTCTGGTGTCTCCACAAGTGGGATACCAGAGGACAAAAGGGCCAGGAAAGTGTATGGTGCATGTGTTTGGCGCATGCTTGTGGGATTGCCTGTGTGTAGAGTGTGGTGTGGTATTGTGTAAATAGGTCAATTTTGTGGTGTAATATGTGTGGCTAGGGGCTGTAGAGAGTGCGTGTATAGGGGCATAGTGTTATAGGGGATGTAGCGAGTGTGTGCATACGGGCAGTAGTGTGTGTGTATAGGTGATGTAGTGTGTGTCACTTATACACACACACTACTGTGTGTAGAGAGGGTGTATTTAGATAATGTTGTATGTGTTTGCTTACAAGGAATGTAGTGTGTGTGTAAGAGATCTAGTGTGTAAAGGACCCAGAGTGTGTATAGAAGATGTGTGTGTGTGTAGAGGATTAAGAGTGCATATAGGGTAAGGGATCTAGCGTGTATCTGGAGCGTAATGTGTGTAGTGGTGCAGTGTGAGGGGTGCTGTAGTGTGTGTGTGTGTGTGTATATATATATATATATATATATATATATATAATCTCAAAAAAACAGGATGCTTGGCACTCTCCTTTAAGTAATAAGAAAGAACTATTAGCCTGGGTGCTATATCCCAAACGTCAGAAATATACAAAAATCAAAACTGAGGATGCACTCACAAGACTTGGTTTAAGTAAAAAAAGGGACTTTTAATTATTCCATGTGAATGGAAAATTGATTTTTCTGTACATTTCACATGGAATAATTAAAAGTCCCTTTTTTCACTTTAACCAAGTCCTGTGAGTGCATCCTCAGTTTTGATTTTTGTGTGTATATATGTATATATATATATATATATATATATATATATAAAAAATATATTTGGACGTATTGTATGTGTGAGGTGCGCAGCGTGTTTGTGTAAGAGGGGTGCTGTGTGTGAGGGTGTTTTTATCTGCCGTCACATTCTGGGTTTCTAATTTTATTTGTCTGTTAACTCACTGAGGGTTTTTTTTATATAATATATGTGCTGTATATGTGTGGGAGTGAGGGTGCTGTCTGTCTGAGGGTGTTGTGTGTGTCTGAGGGTGCTGTGTGTGTCTGTGGGGTGCTGTGTGTGTCTGTGGGGTGCTGTGTGTGTCTGTGGGGTTCTGTGTGTGTGTGTCTGTGGGGTGCTGTGTGTGTGTGTCGGGGGGGCTGTGTGTGTGTGGGGTGCTGTGTGTGTGTGTGTCTGTGTGTGTCTGGGGGCTGTGTGTGTCTGGGGTGTGTGTGTGTCTGGGGTGCTGCTGTGTGTGTCTGGGGGTGCTGTGTGTGTCTGGGGGCTGCTGTGTGTGTCTGGGGGGCTGTGTCTGGGGGGGCTGTGTGTGTCTGGGGGGCTGTGTGTCTGGGGGTGCTGTGTGTGTCTGGGGGTGCTGTGTGTGTCTGGGGGTGCTGTGTGTGTCTGGGTGGTGCTGTGTGTCTGGGGGGTGCTGTGTGTGTCTGGGGGGGGGCTGTGTGTGTCTGGGGGGGCTGTTAGGGAAATTATTTGAAATATATATTTTTTATTTTATTAATAATTATAATATTATTATAATTAATAATTAAAAAAAAAAGTTATGTCCCCCCCCCCTCCCTTCTTACCTTTAGCCTGGGAGGGGGAGGGAGCCGTTCTGCCTGGGAGGGGGAGCCTTGAGGGGACCATGCTGCCTTCCCTGGTGGTCCAGTGGTGAGAGTGAACTCTAACCTGCAGGTTAGAGTTCACTCTCGCGAGATTGAGCGTTGCCGCGGCAACGGTAACCACGGCAACACTCAGAATCCCGCGAGAGGACCGGGCGGAGCGGCTTGTTAGAGCTCCGCCGGGTCCTCTCTCCTCCCTCCCTCACCCAGCCGGCGGCCGCATTTCCCTGCCTCTGGGACGGTGAGGGAGATCTGTGATCTCCCCACCGGCCCATGGAGGCGCACAGCAGGGCCGGCGCTCGGGTAGCGCTGGCCCTGCACGGGCTGGCAGGGGAGATTCTGTGATCTCCCCTGCCGGCCTCCGCCCCACGGCCATCGCGGCCCACCGGGCATTTGCCCGGTATGCCCGATGGCCAGTCCGGGCCTGATTATCATCTGGGGAGATTCATTTGGAAGACCCAGATATTTAAAAAAATTCTAATAAGTATTGCTCCAATTCTTCATCACCGACCACTTCAGGTACGTTTCTAATTCTTAAATTATTTCTACGTGAGAGGTCCTCCAGATAAGTTCCCATTGGTTTTCTAGGGAGGATTTTAGTAGTTCTGGGAAAATTGTTGTTTGTTCAGAATTAAAAGATATATCAGATCGGGGGCGGAGCCTGGACACCAATGGAGCAAGACGTGTAAAGCTCGAGCTCTCCCGTCCAGGAGTGACAATCAGCAAGCATCAGCAGCACCCCCCAGGCATCCAGCCTTATAAATAGGTTAACTGATTACCACACAGCCACCCGTCAGAAATACCGATGGGGGGCACTAAAAAAAGAAAGGAACAACCGACCTCAGTGGCCTCAATGTTCCGCACCGCCAGAGACTTAGCGCGGCCATCTTTGAGCCAGGAGGCACTAAACGCCCACGATTTGGGCTCAGAATCCGACAACGAGGAGGACACAGACAGGAGACAAGAACCTCTCACGAAGGCAGACCTCCACAACATGCTCAAAGAAGCCACAGCAGAAATAAAGGCCCACACAGCGGCAGAACTAGAGCGGCACATCTCAGGCATTAAGGAAGACCTCGAGGCCCTCAACACCTGTGCAACACAGGCAGAATCAGACATTACACTGCTCCAATCAACCTCATCTCAACATGGGCAAGACATCTATTACCTAAGCGACAAGATACAGTATCTGGAAGACAGCTTGGAAGACCTAAACAACCGTTCTCGCAGAAATAATATCAGGATAAGAGGCCTACCGGAAGCTGTGGATGCCGACGCCATTTTACCCACGCTCCGCGACCTCTTTCATACAATACTACCAGACTCCACCGAACAGGAACGCGACATCGAACGGGCCCACAGGGCACTGAGGCCCCTGGCGCTCAATCCCACCTCACCTAGGGACGTTATAGTCCGCATGCAGCACTTCGCCACAAAAGAAAAGATAATGGCTGCCACCAGGACCTCACCACCAAAATATGGAGCCTCCACGTTGGCCTTTTTTCAGGATCTGGCACCGTCTACCCTAAAGAAAAGAAGGGACCTGAAACCCCTGACGATGGCCTTAGCCAAAAAGGGTCTGAAGTATAGATGGGGCCATCCTTTTAAACTACAAGTGCACCTGGGCGACCAAGACCACATTCTACACCACCCCGCGGAAATGGAGGACTTCGCTGCAGCCCTGGGCCTCCAGCTCTTCACCGGGACGCAGGCTGCCGACCGGTACAGCACAGCTCACGGAGGAAATCACAGAGCAGCACAACTACCCCGAAACCAAGCTAAGAAGAGACCCCCGCCACGGGCTGAGAATACCGACCCAACGGCTACCTGATGGACACGCAGCAAACAGGTTTCCCGTGTAGGGAGGCATGCTAGATGATGGGACAGGTTCTATATATTTACTTACTATACTATCACAAGCCACATAAAGTATTTCATGCATACATGTAATGTTTTGCAGTACAGTAGCTGTTGATACAGGGACCAGGGACTGAAGCTGCAGGGCCCACGTAGCACTGCTAACAAAAGACCACCAACACTGACACCCTGGGTACCCCCCCCTTACCAGCACGCACCCACCTTCCAGACACTGCACACAGCTCTACTTCTAAAGAGCCCCCAGTCCACATCAACCAAAACAGGAGCTGTATTACACACGCAAAACACACACACCAAAGATATGGTATGGGCGGTAAAATCTGGAGTGTGGATCCCACAGTAGGAGGTTAAACAAATGTAAATAAGTTATGAATATGAACGGTTAATATGTTTAATGTTTAGTACAGCTCAGTAAGTCCAGACACTTGGACACAGTCGGACGCCCTTCAGACTTGGAGTATTCAACTGCCCCAAAAAACCCTAAGGGCCACAGAACAGTCACACAAAACTTAACATGGGCAACCCCCATCTTTTCCGAGGGCGCTACTCTAACACAACAGAGCATGCACAGACACCCACTGAACGCCACCACCAATTGCCACTGACAGAGGTGATGCCATAGCAGACTCGAGGTAACAGCATATTTAAAAAAAAAAAAAAAAAAAAATTATTACAAAAAAAGATATACTCTCGAGTCCCGGAACACTATCTGATACTCTGCTTCATACTACAATTATAAGCCTGCACACCTCTAACCCCACAGTGATAAGAAATCCCCACTGTCCCCTCTTGGAAGGGGTAGGAAGTAATGCGGGGTATACCCTCACATGGGGACCCTACGCTCAAAAAGGCAGGAGGGCCTAACTGGAACTAAACAGTTATGATCCAGAGAACCCCACCTGATACTCCCATGACCCGCTTCCCTAGACAGCACCCTCAACTCTAAGTGTGACACTTTATACATAGACTACAACAGGGCATACTGCCCACCCCTTAAGATCAACCATGCGCATCTCCCTCATAATATGGAAAGGGGGTAAAGGGGACCTTATACAAACTCTCAATGGGTTTCTAATGAGGTATTGCATATGTTAAAATGTAAATATTGTTCATAAATGTGTTGTGCATTGTACCCACAGACTATTAACAGACCCTGCCACAGGCACGACCCCACAGCACGGACAACAGGTCCCCCCTGGGGACTCTAGGAACATCACCGCAATGGAGATGTTGGGGCCACCAAACCGAAACACTAAGACCCCCAAGGGTAGGAAGAAACCCGGGCCCCCAACAAGGGACACGCACACACAAGAACGACACTACATGACGCCTGTGACCATATAATTATCAGACCCATGACACGCATCACACGACAAATCTTACCACAACCCAAAGAACGCTCCAGGAGACAATGGACCCAATCCAACAGACAACATTGAGGCCCTTAACCGCCTGGTATAAAATAACGATATCTGTTACATTGATACCTTTGCAGAAGCCATGCCATCCGCTACGGCGATTTCATCCGGACCCCCCCATCGAAGGGTATGAATAACCTGATAAGACAACACCAGAGGTAAATTCACAACACTCCGAAGTGACGGGAGGTGAGAAAAGACACCCCTACTCAACCCACACACCTCTATTACCACCACTTACAACGGCTCCCACCGCTTTACAAGCGGCTATATAGAGGGAACCGGTTTGGATCAGTACAAAGTACAGATACCCAAACCCCCTCCACCTCCGTCCCCAACACTCCTGGCTACTTCGGTATCAGACCAGGCACATCCCGACCAACCCGTCCCTACATACACAGATACCCCACCGGGGCGTAAAACCCCAGAACTCAATCCTTGAAACGAAACCTAGGCATACACACCCTCACCCCCCTGCCTCATCCCCCTCCCTTACCTTATCCCTCCTCATAACCAGGCGCACCGCCCTAACACATACACACGAATAACCCCAGAAAACAACACCCCCTGTGAGAACATCCAGACGCTATGACTGCCAAACTCACCTGCATTTCCATTAACTGCAAAGGCCTCAACAATCCAGCGAAGAGACACCGACTCATGAGGTGGGCGAACCGCACAGGAGCAGATATAATACTTCTACAAGAAACTCACTTCACCCAGACCAAACCGTTTCCCCTCCTCAGCCGACACTTTAGAGAATGCTACACTGCTAACTCCCCCAACACCAAACAGAATGGAGTAGCCATACTGCTACGCAAGACATGTCCCCTAAACGTAACACAAGTCATTAGAGACCCCCAAGGCAGGTTCCTGACACTCACAGGCCAGGCAGGCCCCAACAAATATGCCATCACAACACTCTATGCACCGAACATCCCTGACAAATCATTCTGGGATACACTACAGGCCCACCTGACACTGACCCCAGGCCACCTCAAAATTATTGGAGGAGATTGCAATGCTACGTTGTCACCGGCGACAGACAGACACCGCACCCGCAAACACGGGCAAGACACAGCCCCTACAACCAAAGTAGATAAACTGCTACAAGCATTCACCCTCCAAACACGATTGGTTGACGTGTGGCGAGCTCTACACCCAACCACACATGACTTTACATTCTTTTCACACCCACACAACTCTTACTCACGTATAGACCTATTTTTGATTTCCCCCTCCCTCCTACCCATGGTCCACACAGCCACCATAGGCAACATAACATGGTCAGATCACGCGGACATAGCCCTAACAATAAAAATCCCAAACGTAGCGCGCCCCTGGACCTGGAGACTGAACCCGACTCTGCTACATAACCCCCTCCTGAGGGACACCATTCACAAAGACTTGTCAGAATATTTTACCAATAACGCACCCTCAGCACCCTCCCCGGGAATACTATGGGCAGCACACAAAGCAGTCATCAGGGGGAAATTAATTAGCCTAGCCGCAGCTAGAAAACTCAACTAAAGTCACTAGCAAAATCCCTGGAGGCCCTCAGGAACCTAGAAACCGAACACAAACAAAAGCCCACCCCTGACATTCTCGCAAAACTGACAGACTGCCGCAAGCAAATTAAAGACTTCATGGCCAAGGACTCGGCCAAGGCATTACAATGGTCAAAACAGACCTACTATGAAAAATCAAACAAGGCAGACACTCTGCTAGCGAGAAAACTTAAACACAGGACAGACCAAAAAAGAATAGACAAAATACAGACACCGGAGGGAATCACACACTCCCTCCCATCAAAAATAGGCGAAGTCTTCCAAAAATACTTTACCACACTATATGACCACAACCCAGAAGCGAGACAACACCCGGACGTAATGTCAGAGTCCATAAACACTGCAAAAAATACCACTACCAGCCCTGAAACCAGAAGCGATAGCTAAACTAAGTGAACCTATCACCATAGAAGAAGTGGCCACAGCAATTAAAAACACTAAACCCAATAAAAGCCCTGGACCCGATGGTTTTTCAGGTCTTTACTATAAAACCTTCCCAACCACACTCCTCCCACACCTATGCTCACTCTTCAACTCTGTGATACAGGGAAATCCGCTACCACCGGACATGCTCCGAGCCAACGTGTGCCTCCTCCCTAAACCAGGCAAATCCCACCTGGACCCAAGCCACTATAGACCAATCTCTCTACTGAACGTGGACGTCAAATTACTCACTAAACTACTCGTAAATAGGATAAACCCATACATACATAAACTTATCCACCCCGACCAGGTAGGTTTCATACCCCACAGACAAGCATACGACAACACAAGACGGACCTTCGACCTCCTCTGGACCGCAACACACCGACGCATCCCAGCCCTCTTTCTCTCACTAGACGCAGAGAAGGCTTTTGACCGACTCCTATGGCCTTTTCTGTTCGCTACCCTCCGCAAATTTCGGGTACCCCACACAATTCTCAACGCACTTCAAACTTTGTACTCCTCCCCAGAAGCAAGCCTCCTCATCCCTAACACACAACCCCCCTCCTTCCGCATCTTCAATGGAACCAGACAGGGATGCCCCCTCTCCCCACTATTATTCGCCCTCTCATTAGAACCCCTCCTCCAAGCCCTCAGGTTCGACCCTACAATATCGGGCATATGTATAAGAGGGGAGGAATACAAAGTTGCAGGATACGCAGACGATCTCCTCCTAACCCTCACCGATCCAACACAATCTCTACCTCCACTCCTTCACGCCTTGGACGAATATGCCAAAGTCTCAGGTTATCGCCTTAACCTAGATAAGACAGAGGCCCTACCTGTCCAAATCCCAGCTGACGAGCTATCCCACCTGCAGACCAGCTATCCTTTCCATTTCAACCCATCTCATATACACTACCTAGGCGTCAACCTCCCAGCAGACGTCACTCAAACATATCACCTAAACTATACCCCCTTACTACAAAAAGCGCTGGCAGACCTCAAGACATGGGAGACCTACTCGATCTCCTGGCTGGGAAGAGTAGCCTGCATCAAAATGAATCTTCTACCAAGATTCTTGTACTTGAATCAAATGCTACCAGTCCAGGTATCGATCAAAGATTTCAAAGGCTTACAAACGCAGATCGACCGCTTCATATGGGCAAACAAACGCGCCAGGATTAGACGAGACATCCTATATCTCCCGACCAAGGCCGGGGGACTAGGTCTACCTCATTTCCTACACTACTTTCATGCGGCCCAACTAACCCAAATCCAGGCATTACACGCCCCCATAGGACTGAAACGGTGGGTAGATTTAGAGCATGACTTATTTGGCAGGGACTTCCCCACCCTATACATATGGCTGCCACGGCACGCACGTCCAAAGGCCCCGCAGACCACACCAGCACTCACCACTTCCATAGCCATATGGAATAAACTTTCTTTACAACACGCGCTCACATCGGACCCATCACCCCTGGCACCAATACTAAGAAATGAACAATTCTTACCGGGCATGACCCTGCGTGACTTTGTTCGCTATGAGGATAACAACCTCCACAGAGTATACCGGTTCTACAAGGACCAACGACTGATTCCGTTCACAGAACTGCCCCAAACAGTGCCACTCACCACACGCGACTATTTTCGATACATCCAGATAAAAGACTTCCTAGAGACAACCGCCTACAAACGGGCAGGACAAACCCCTCTCACCCCCTTCGAACAAGCTTGTATTCACACTCCTATACGGAAAAGCCAAATCTCCATTACATACACATGGCTACTCAAAGCAACACAAAAACAACCGCTTAACTACGTCACGGCATGGGAAAGGGACCTGGGCCCCCCACCGACCCCTCAGACTGGGCGACCATCTGGGAGGCCACATCAAAAATAACAATATGTGTCACACATAAGGAACAGGCCTATAAGACCCTCATGCGATGGTACATTACGCCACTAAAACTCAAACAGATGGGACTATCCACCTCAGACAGATGCTGGAAAGGCTGCGGCCAACAGGGGACATACTATCACCTTTGGTGGGAATGCCCTCTTATTACACCAATTTGGAGAGACATAGCGACACTTGCATCACGGGTCCTACATGATACCATCCCTACAGACCCCTGGCTATGGCTCCTATCCAAACCTCTACCAGACACACCCCGCGCACACAACAAACTTTTGGCCAAACTAGCCCTAGCAACAAGGAGAGCCATAGCTACCCACTGGGCGGCTACGATCCCAACAATAACAGACGTCAAACGCAAAATGAATGAGGCGAGGCTCATGGACGGAATGTCAGCTCTCATACACGAAACCACAATACATTGCGACAAAATCTGGGACCCATGGCTCGCGGAGCCCTCAACCCACACCTAATACACAACGCGGTGCGCCATCCCATTCCACCCCCCCTCTCCCCATAATCTAGCAACACACCCTCCCCCTTATCCCTAACTCAGTGCCCATCAGCGGACCCCCGACAAGGCAGATAACAACCACACCAAATCACTGCCACCACATGCCTAGCATCCCCCCAAAGTAATCACACAAAGAAACAAACAAACCCCACAGACCACCGGAAGATATGATACAGAAACGAAACAGATGATCATGAAACCAAACCTCCTCTCTTCCCGACTGAAACCCTACCCCAGGGAAACTAAGGCAAAATCGGCAACATAAAGCCAAGATACTACCACAACATAAGGGTACCATCGTAAAGATGCAGTATACCCAAACTACTTCAGGGAAAGGCCAGCAGCCAGCGCACAGGCAAGCAGATAAAAAGCCCCCAACACCCTGTCCATCACAACTGTACGGTATCACCCACCATAGTCTAACAGACGCTGAATGAACACATAGGGAACGAGATGACTCCCCATAAAACGCACACAAACCAGACAATGACATAAAGCCCTACGAAACGGACGCACGAGTCCCACAATCCCCCCCCCTACCATTTCAGGAACACACCCAAAACGGTATCTCCTGAACTTGAACCCCACGACCATAGAAACAATCTGATACAAGAGATACAACCAATTAACAAAAAAAAAACACTGACAGATCAAAACACCAGCTGAAAAACCAACAACTGAAAGAAACAAAGAAAGAGAAAAAACAGGCTTCTCGAAGAACAAACGTACTGCTAACCAAATAATTGTCTTCTTTCTGTATATGCACAGTTCTTCTTTTTTTTTTTGTTTTTGTTTATTTGTACCACAAAAGCCCGGCTTTTGCACAAGCCGATTACATGATTCTATGTTTACAAGTTGTATTGTATGTCAATGCATAAATAAAGAATTATAAAAGATATATCAGATTGATCTGCCGATAATAACTTCCCAGATGACAATCTATCCCCTAGGCCTCCTGGGGAGTTTATAGAAATTTTTGATGTGTCTTTTTGGGCAGTAGGTGAAAAAAAAAGCCTGAGAGATTTTTATCTTTCTTGCTTTGATGTTCCTTTTCCAACCTTTCCCTATCTTTCTTTAAGGTCTTAGCTTTATCTTTACTAGCCATTTTTACCAATTATAATATTATATCTTCTGCAGTATTAATAAAACTGCAGTAGTAAGAATCTCTTTTGTGAGAGAGAGAGGGAAAAAAAAAAAGGAAAGGAGACCAGAAACGGACAAGAGATATATACACTGCTCTGAGATCTAAATTACGATAATTGCATCTACCAGATGTTTGTTGTCTAATATAAGTTGAATATATATAATTATGTAAGGTTAAGTCCAGTTTTATTTATTATTCACTTCCTTCTTATAGAGATATGAAGTTCGTAAGGAGCTCAGTATTTCTGGATCTCTCAAAATCTTGCTCTGCCGACTTCTTTATTGCTTTTCTTCACTTATCCTGTTATCCTGCTATAATTTCCCTTCTGAGATTGATTACACCGTAATTATCAGGGTTCACAGTTAAAGGGATAAGCTAGCTTAACGGACCTCCATGTGCGGGTCGCCCAATTAGACCAAGAACACAAAGCTACAAACTCGGAGGAAGTATACAGAGCGCTATTAGAAGCACGACGGGCCCTACAACACCAACTGTCTAAACAACTCTCACACTCATTGCGGAAATCCCCCTGGATCACTTATATGGCTGGCCGGGGGCGGGAGGCGCCGGCCCATCAGGGGCCTGGGAGAGAGGCTGGGGACGGTTAATGGGAGACCATGGGGCGCGGGGCTCCCCCCCTTTTTTTTTTCCCCCTCGTTCTCGCTCCCCCCTTTTCCCACCCCTTCCCCACACCAGCACCCAGGAGGACCCGGCTCACTCCCCCCTATTAAAATAAAGGACCCGATACATTCGGTCTGGACCCCACCCTCACAAGACTAACACCGCACAACCCAGATTTGGCCTTGATAGGGACCAAGGGCGCCACGCACACAATGTAACCAACCCAGCCCACATAGGCGGTTATGAGCTAGAGTGAGACTGAGTAGGGAGAGACGCACTCGATGCGCACACCTAGACGGATGCCCAAAAGGGAGCTCGCTCCGCACGCACTGGTCCTGTGGGGCGGCTGGGGGTCCCCGGGGAGCAGGGAGCTCACATGACACCACCAGGCCCTAACACCTGACAGCCCCCAGAGGGACCCAGAAGGTCTGGATGTGGCCCCGACTCGACCACCCAGGGGAGTGGCCGGCTCACGGACCCCTTATCCCCGACCACAACCTAGGCGATGCAGACGAACTAGGGGCGCCCCTTTCTTTCCAGGATGGCGCAGGGACGCTATAACACCCAGACCCGCACACCTATCACCCCCCCTGGAGGGGGGAGCTCGGCCCGCGCCTCGAGCCAAGGTACCCCAACCCAACCGCGCAATGAGGTGCATCCTCACCTAACTACCGCTTTACCCACAACCCTCCCCGCATGGGGCCCGAGACTGGGGGGCGGGGGCGCGGGATGGAGAGAGGGGAATGGGAGTAACGGCACCTCTAATGGTCCCCGGGGGGCAGTCCCTGCCGTCCGGTGAGAACCCAGCCACCAGTTGAGCCCTAATAGCAGGCTTGTACCTCAGCAGGGGGGGAGATATGAGAAGGGGTATGCCAAAAGGGGTCATTAGCGTAACACTGTTATGGAAACAAATGTTTGTACTGTTACTTCTTGTCAAACCACAAAACTAAATAAAGAATGTCAAAAAAAAAAAAAGGGATAAGCTAGGTTTTTCCAGCAGTGCTCTTAGATTTGATTTTATCAGGAATGAGAGATTAGGCTCTATAACCCCCTTTGTTTCTTCCCTTTTTATTTCTCATCTTCCCCTCTTTCTTCTCTATCTTCTTTCTTCCTCTCAGTCCTTGAGTTTAAATACTGATATAAAGTTCAATATTAGAGGTTCTTTGTCTCTACAGAGTATTTAAACACAGTGTAACGGATCACCTGGCACCCCGACTGGGTATCTCCGTTAAAGGATGCTCCTAGCATTTCCTGAGGACTCCAAGCACTCTGGCAGACATCACAATCACTGAACCGGAGAAGCGTATACCTTCTCTCAAGCATTTGAATGCTATAAACAGCTGAATAGGCAAAAACCATACGGATGGGTTTAGACTCCTAGCAGTCAAACTGGAATAGCATACAATAAATCCTTCCACAATAATGAGACGACACTTCACTTTGAGGGTTAAGCAGGAACTGCAGATTTATTCACACAACCTCCTTTTAAGACATTCTCCCATGCAAGGGAGGGATCCACAACAATTAGTACCCCAGCCAATAATGTACCAGTTACCTCCCACACATCTCCTCCCCTTAGTGTGACACATAATCCCATTAGTACAGACACAAATTCCCTGGGTTACTGGATGTACCCCTAAACATAGGGTTACCCCTTTAAATGTTACATCCCCTGGTAGCCCTGATCTGGTTGAGACACATATCCAAAAATCATCCAGATCGGACCAGGGGTTCGGGAATTATGGAGGGAAGTTTTGACCGACTGCATGGCAAAAGTATCCAAAAATAGTTCCATGTATTTTCGCCCTGCAGTCGGTCACAGAAAAGGGAATGAAAACACATGAATTGCCTGGGTTATAGAGCCTGGGGAGGGTTTAAACGAATTCCCTTGTTCGTGGGGTTCTTTCTACTGAACGGCGGGTCATTCGGTAGTTTCCTCACGAATTCATGAAAGTCTGGAGGGCTCAGCGGTGTTTGCCTAGTCGAGTGTCCGATTTTAGTTCCAGACACTCGACGGCAAAACACAGCTGTTCGGGAGCTTAAGATGGCCGCCGCCACGTGTTCGTTTCCCAAATGGCGGCCACCCAGAGGACAAAACCACACATTACATCGATTGCCAATTACCCGTTTGCAACATTGTTGCAAACGGTAATTGGAGGCACACTTCTTCCTGGGTGGTCTGGTTGTTCGGTAGTTTCACTCAATATAATGAATGGAGTGATTCTACCGAACAATCAGGGGAATGCTGCATACACATATACAATTTAGCCGAACACACAGAAACATACATAATATAAAAGACATCCTTACTGTAATCTGCTACCAAGTCTTAAAGGGGTATTGTTCCTAAAAGTCATAATATGTCCCCGGATGGCCCTTAAAGGGCATTAAAAGTACAAATTTACCAGGGGCCATAGTCAGCAGGTAGGAGGCGGGCAGCCAGGCCTCTCCAAGGTCCAGTGGCGAGGCAGGTTCCGCCACACACAGTACTTCAAAATTAGACAAGTCTTCATTGATAGATGTATCTATACTTCTTTATTGCCTTTATGCTATATGGCAATACTTTGTCATAAGATTTAACTCTATTTTAGGTTCACTTGGAGGTTTTTATTGGTTTACAGGTCTGCGGGTTTCAAGATAAATTTCCATTCAGTGAATATGCCCTTATTCATTTCCTCTCCCTTTCCCTCCTTTCCTTCCTTCTCTCTCCCTTTTCTTCTTCACTTTTAATAAGTGTCTGTCAGTCCCATAGTCCCAGAGCAATCTTATTTGCAGATTTATTCAATAGTCTCTAGGTTAGACTAGATTTGCCCATACTATACAGGGAGTGCAGAATTATTAGGCAAGTTGTATTTTTGAGGATTAATTTTATTATTGAACAACAACCATGTTCTCAATGAACCCAAAAAACTCATTAATATCAAAGCTGAATATTTTTGGAAGTAGTTTTTAGTTTGTTTTTAGTTATAGCTATGTTAGGGGGATATCTGTGTGTGCAGGTGACTATTACTGTGCATAATTATTAGGCAACTTAACAAAAAACAAATATATACCCATTTCAATTATTTATTATTACCAGTGAAACCAATATAACATCTCAACATTCACAAATATACATTTCTGACATTCAAAAACAAAACAAAAACAAATCAGTGACCAATATAGCCACCTTTCTTTGCAAGGACACTCAAAAGCCTGCCATCCATGGATTCTGTCAGTGTTTTGATCTGTTCACCATCAACATTGCGTGCAGCAGCAACCACAGCCTCCCAGACACTGTTCAGAGAGGTGTACTGTTTTCCCTCCTTGTAAATCTCACATTTGATGATGGACCACAGGTTCTCAATGGGGTTCAGATAAGGTGAACAAGGAGGCCATGTCATTAGATTTTCTTCTTTTATACCCTTTCTTGCCAGCCACGCTGTGGAGTACTTGGACGCGTGTGATGGAGCATTGTCCTGCATGAAAATCATGTTTTTCTTGAAGGATGCAGACTTCTTCCTGTACCACTGCTTGATGAAGGTGTCTTCCAGGAACTGGCAGTAGGACTGGGAGTTGAGCTTGACTCCATCCTCAACCCGAAAAGGCCCCACAAGCTCATCTTTGATGATACCAGCCCAAACCAGTACTCCACCTCCACCTTGCTGGCGTCTGAGTCGGACTGGAGCTCTCTGCCCTTTACCAATCCAGCCACGGGCCCATCCATCTGGCCCATCAAGACTCACTCTCATTTCATCAGTCCATAAAACCTTAGAAAAATCAGTCTTGAGATATTTCTTGGCCCAGTCTTGACGTTTCAGCTTGTGTGTCTTGTTCAGTGGTGGTCGTCTTTCAGCCTTTCTTACCTTGGCCATGTCTCTGAGTATTGCACACCTTGTGCTTTTGGGCACTCCAGTGATGTTTCAGCTCTGAAATATGGCCAAACTGGTGGCAAGTGGCATCGTGGCAGCTGCACGCTTGACTTTTCTCAGTTCATGGGCAGTTATTTTGCGCCTTGGTTTTTCCACACGCTTCTTGCGACCCTGTTGACTATTT